TCTACTTTCTACTGCAAACTCTGCTCTCAGGCTAAGCTTTTTGAAGTAGTTTACTTGCAAACCATGAGTGGTCCCTGTACCTATAAAATTAAATGCAAAAGTCCTAAGGCAGCATTCTAACCTCCCACACCTGGCCCGAATCGCTTTCCAATCCTATCTCATTCCATTCACTCATGTTCCAACAAGAGCTGCGTTCCCGAAACACATACTTCTGTGTTTCTCTGATTACATTATCTCCCATGCCTGAAATGTCCTCTTAAAACGGCTCCACCTGTTCAAACTCCATTCTAAAACTGACTCAAACCACCTACTCAGGAAACGTTCCAGATTTCCCACAGCTGGACGCAAACCCTCTTAAGTATCGGCTGCTTTTGCACACTTGTGCACACACGCATGCGCACTCTGACGGCGCTTATTCTCTGCCATATCTTGTAGCTACTTTTGAACATTTCTCCTTTCCCCTATTGGACCCACTGTCTTTACTTCCCCAAAACTCACACCATGTTTGACTCACAGCAGGCACTCACAAAAAAAAATGCATAACAAGTACACTTTGTTAAGAACAGAACTTATGCAAAACTCAACAAATTCTAAAGCACAACCCCAATTTGAAAATCCTGGAGAAGTTCGCAGCAGCCTTCCCCACCTGGGAAATACAATTTTCTGATTTGCAAGGGAAGAAAGACCTTGATAATATTTTTGGCCCATGAATACTTCTTTTAAAACAACATCTTAACATATTATGTGCACATAAAGCCAAAACATATGGGTTAAGTTTCCTATAAAGTACAGACGGATTTTATAAACACAGCCAAGAGGGCTAGGAGAAATTGTGATCTGCAAAGCAGATTATCTAGGGGTCTTTTTCTTACTCCAAAATTCATCTAGAGCAATCTTGCTTTAATTACATGTTGACGTTTCCTCTTCGCTGTAGTGACTTTCCTAGAGGCAACACTTTTCACATTCCCAGGGAGGAAAAATAAGTAACTAAGGAAAAGAAAATGACTTCCTTCACCTGTCATTTTTCCCATCCACGGTATTCGGCAACACTACCCTTTCCTCTCCAGCCTACCCCTCCGTTTTTGTCCTGCTATCCATCACTGTGATTTTGTCCTTCCTCACAGACTATTCCTTCTGACCTTTCCTATCCTTACCACCCCCTTTCTTCTTCTTGTCCTCGGACATTTACTAAGAGAGTCTATATCCTTCCCTCCCCACTTTCGAGTCAAGGTAAGATCCTTTGGTGAGGGGATGCAGGGGTCAGTTGTCAGGGAAACCTGTGGCTAACAGGGACACGCAAGTCCACGTGAAGTTTTTCTGCACAACCACCCTTGTCAGCAGAAACATTCCTCCTCCTAGCGGAGCCTGGACTCTGCAGTGAAGTCCAGCTGAGCAGGAACAAAGAGCTGGGAGTGGGAGTTGGAAGTGTACAAGGATGAAATTGGAAAGAAAAAGGGAGGAACTGGGGAAACTAAGTTATCAGAACTTAACTAATCCAAACTGACAACTTCTCACCCCCAATCCCCACCGTACACCCCTCTGCTCCCAAACCTCAACCTGAGCACACAGTGAAGAATCTGAAACCCAATGTCCACCTCCTCCCTTCTCAATGGACAGCCTCAGAGCTTTAATTAATGTCAGTTGTGCGTTCACAGCACTATCTAGACACAGAAAGGAAGAGAAGGAAGACTGGAAGCCCTCGACTCAGCTCTCTGAGAGCGAGGCTGCTTTCATCTGCTATAACTATTATAACTGGCTCACCAGTGCGACTTGGAAATTCCTGTAAGATTTGTTAACAAGGTGAAAGCAGCACTACCTACTTCCCAGCAGAAAAAATCATGTACTTATCTCCCCAGCTTCAAATAAGGGAAGAAAACAGGCAGCTGCAGCATGAAATGGAGATCCTTTTATGCAAGAGAGAGACCCAGAGCTAGTATTTTCACAAATAAATTGCATAAAAGTTCCCTAATTAGGATTTAATCAAATGATAGTTGAGCTACTATAACATTGTTTCAAGGCTTGTAGTCTAATTATTTCGCTTTCTAAAAATGAATAGTAGCCATCTTTCCAGGAGCTGTCTGGATAGCTTAGTGCACACTAATGAGGTTTAATGACAGTTAGACAGGACCATAAAAGGAAGCATAAATTCACCACCGGCTCCAAAAAAGAAAAAACTTTTTACACCCATAAATAAGCTGCTTTTACCATACTGATAAAGAAAATCCCCAACTGGCTTCCAAGCTTAACTTTTCCATAAGAACGAATATTAGCACAAGTTAGAACTGCTCTAGCAAATGGCAATTGCAACAAGGACCCCAAAAATGCTCTTCCAATGCTTTGCTCAAAGGAATCCCTGAGCACCTCTGTTTGCCTGCCTTTTTCCCAATTCCTCCAACCCCCTCAAAATGTATTGAGTTCATTAATTCATTTAATAAATAGTAACTGAACATACAATATGTACCAAGAATCACTGTAAGTGCACAAAAAAACCTCTGCCCTCACGGATCTAGCAGGAAGAGACAAGGAAGAAAAGACGTCATATGGTACGTTAGACTGGGATAATCATTATGGGATTCCAGTCCCAAAACATGGTTTCCTCATGCCCAGATTGTGACCTGGTTTCCAACAGTGGCTGTAACGTTCATCTGCACATCCAGCACCTACTACATGCTTGGCATATAATGCAATCTCAATTCTTAAAAATCCTTTTAATAACCAAATGAGTGACCAAGTGTTTTAACAGTTTTCAAATTCTCTAAGAGGCAGACTTTTCTATAGGTGACAGAATGAGGGGGAAAAAGTTCTCCTAAAAGAGTCTAACGTATTTTTTTTTTTAAATCATACATTCCCTTGATTACAGAGAAACAAGCAACAAGACAAGTCACTTTAAGAGACGACTCATTTTAAACCAGGGATTCTTAACCTGCAGTGCACACGTTCAGGAAAGCATGTGAACTCAACGACACTGTTAGCACAATCGGGGCAGAGGGGAGTTACATGCATTTATCTGAGGAGAAAGTTGGTAACTTTTGTCAGCTTCTCAGAGATCTGCGATCCCCAAAAGATTGAGCAGCACTGCCCTACATAATAAACATGTTATGTCCTTGTTAATAGTAAAGGTATTCTTTTAACCCTGAGTCAGCATTTTCCTTTTTCTTAATAGGTGGAATCTTTGAGGGAGTTGAGAGAGGGGAGACGCAGGCACACAAGGTACAGTCCTTTTGAACCAAGCACTCCAGAAGCATCCTGAAACCACTTTTTCCACATGTCCCCCAAAAGCTGTCCCAGCCTTATAAATGTAGGCCAGCTAAACTGTTTCAATAGATTCCAGCTCCTTCAAATTCTGTGTCCAAATACAAAATGTCATGGGGCAGACCTAACACCAGCACAAGTCACACTTAGGTCTTAAAAAACCTCTCAAATAGTAACAGAACCTTCTCCCATGTTCCACCTTGAAGTTCTCTCTTAAGTTCTTAATAGAGGCAGAAGAGATGCTTCCTCCCTAGGTCAGCCATTCTCCTTGCTGGCTACCTATACTTCTTATGAAGGCAGGGGCTGGGCATGGTGGGTCACGCCTATAATCCTAGCACTCTGGGAGGCCAAGGTGGGAGGATTGCTTGAGGTCAGAGTTCAAGACCAGCTTGAGCGAGACCCTGTCTCTACTAAAACTAGAAAAATTTAGCCAGGTGTGGTGGTGTGTGCTTGCAGTCCCAGCTACTTGAGAGGCAGAGGCAGGAGGATCATTTGAGCTAAGGAGTTTGAAGTCAGGGAGCTATGACGATACCACTGCACTCTACCAGGTGACAGAGTGAGACTCTGTCAAATAAATAAATAAATAAATAAATAAATAAATAAATAAATAAATAAATAAATAAATAAATAAATAAATAAATAAATAAATAATTCTTATGAATGGAAAAATTTAACAGAACACACGTGGCTACAGAGCCACTTCAAAGAGCCCCTCAGAGGATTCTGGTTTGCCAGAGTTGAAAGTTATTGGTTCAGGACGGGGATCAGCAAGCCTTTTCTATAAAGATGCTACTTTTTTTTCCTTTGCGGGCTATCTGGTCTCTGTTGTAACTACTCAACTCTGTTGGACCGTGAGAGCAGCCACAGAGAATATATAATTGAGGAGAAAAGAACAATAATTTGGAAAAGAGATCATGAACGGACAATAATGAACAGTACTTATTTCTAGAATTTAAAATGCTGACTGGGTGTGGTGGGAGGAAGAGTATATTAAAGCCGTTTCTGCTCACCCCTGAGATGGCTCTCCTAATTCAAACCCATCTCAACCCCATCCATCAAATCCCAGGAATGTGTCCCTCACTCCTACCCCCGGCCCAGGGGTACTGCCTGGGTCCATTTGAGGAGTTTACCCCACCCCGGCTTCTCCTCATTGACCTGCCACTCAGGACAGCTGGGTCCAACCAGGAAGACCCTTTGCGAGGCAGGGTGACCTTCGCAAGTACAAAGCAAACTGAGGCCAGCCTTGGCCAGCAGTCTGAGGGGAGCCCTGCCCCTCAACCCCACTCTTGATGATGCTCGTGATCCTCTGGCTCCATCTCACTTCCTTTCAACTTTCTTTATTTGCCTTATTTTCTCTCTTGCCTTCAAGTTGCAAAGCCCTAACGTCATCAAGAGTACAAGGACCACTATGACACACAGAATTTGAGTGACAAATCTAAGGACAGGAATGAAAGCAACAAAAAAATCTAAACACTTCACAGTTACCTTGCCCATATCCATTTGCATTTGGATGAAGTGTTCCTTCATTAAACCAGTGAGTAACACAAGACTGGGTATGGTTCAGATTATGAAGCACCACCAAAAGACAGAAGCTCAATGAAAACTTCTTCAAACCAAGTTCATCACGGTGATGATAAAATCATTTAAAAAAAAAAAAAAGAAAAGGGAAATCTAAGAGGATAGTTATTCATTACATGGTGACAAGCCACAACTGCGAAGTCCCTTAAGGAAAAAAAGAATTTTATTACCTTTTCATGGTTTTCAATTAAGATTTCCACAACAATATTCTGAAACTTCAAATCCATGATGGCAGCAACCGTTTCTTCCTGTGGCCTCATCAGAGTCGGTCCAAACACCACTCCTAAATTTGCCACCGTCATTAGGTTCTGCTTGGAGTGATTTGAAACACTGGAATTGACGAAGGGGGGGAGAAAAATGTCTCCATTTAACCAAAGGGGCAAAAATTGCGGAATGTATAATATGCTACAACTCTGTATTTCCTTAAAAACAGGGAGTCAAGAAACTCAACATGACTCCTCAACGTCTACCTCTGAAATAACATCTACCTCTAATTGAGGCCCCTGCCCCCTCTTTTACTTCTCTCTCTCTCATGATCTACTCTAGCCACAATGGCTTTCTTACTAATTCCATGTACAGTCTTCCCTTGGTATCCACAGGGGACTGGTTCCAACACTCTTGTGGATACCAAAAGGCACAGATGCGAAAGTCCTGCGATTTGCTCTGTGGAACCTGCACATAGAGAAAGTCGCCCTCCATACCCACATGCACCCTGTGAATGCTGTATTTTCAATCAGTGGCTTGCTGAGTCCATGGATGCAGAACCCACAGATACAGAGTCTGCAGATTCAGAGGGCCTACTGTACGTGCTAAGCTCATTTCCCTCAAAAGCCTTCATTCACTACTCCCCACTAATCAAAACACACCCCCCTCTCCCACCAGATCGTTATACCCTTTTTTCTAGGGACTACCAGATCCCACGGCACCTTTGTGAAAAAGAGCTTCCCAAATATGCAGAGCTTGGTCAGAGCACCCACACTCAGTCCTTCAGCCCAGCATCATTGTGCAGCGAACAACCTGGACAACTGTTCTCAGCAGCCCTGCCATTTATGCAGAGCTCAACTCAAAGATTTCATCCTCAAAGAGATCTTCCATAATACTCTTCTTTATAGTCTCATGCTCAACACACATTCTCTATCTCCTTACTGTGCTTTGTGGTTTTGCCACTTATCATCTGAAACTATTTTGTATTTTTATTTGTAATCTGTTTATCATCTTTTACCCCCAAGAAAGTGAGCTTCACAGAAGTTGGGATTTTAACTGTCTTGTTCAACTATCTATTCATTAGCACCTAAAAAAGGCATTCACTAAACATTTGTTGACCAAATGAATCAATGGCTACACAAGTAGTAGGGCCGTTAGCAAATCACAATATCCTCTGGTCTTCACTCTTAATGTAAAACAAAGGTTCTAAAACATAGTGTTCCTCAGCTTCCTCTCACCTTGAAAATTCTATAGTTATAATGATATGTGAGCCATTTATATTTGAAGAAAGAGCTAATCTGTCTGCTGAATTATTCAGTTTTGCTTGCTTTTAAGAGGAGGAAGAAAAGGGAATGGATTCTGTGAAATAACTACCCATTGCCGAATTAAGCAAACTTAAGGGCATGTTCAAACTTAGAGTTAGATAGGTGTGAAACTAAGTTAAATTTGCTAACTAACTTACAATCACATTTCCAGAATCTGTGTATGGGGCAATGCATAATATTCTCTTCTTTCCTTCAAATCAAATCCTGAGTTGCTGGCAGTGCTGTTAAGCAAATAATTATACAACTTCATGAAAGCATCGTATTTCAACGCCTTGTCCAAAACACACACGATGAGTCAAACGCCCAGCTTGCCCTTCCAGGTGTGGTCCCTGGTATTGTGTGTGCAGCCCCCCGTTCCAACCCTTACAGATCCAGGAACGCTGCACGGCACCTAGAGCAAAGCGATGGAAGTTAAAAGGAAGAAAGAGAGGCTTACTTTGTCAAGTGTTTCACCAAAATATCCAACATTTCTTTATTTTTCTCTGGCAGCTTGTGCACCAAGAAATGGATAGCATTGACACGAGATTCTGGGCTGCCGCTTTCTTTAAAAGAAAAAGAAGAAGAAAGAAAAAAAAAGTAGTTAGTAGAATACTCAGAATTGAATTTATTTCTCAAAATCAACAATGACAACAGCTCATCTTCAAGATTAGTCAAACACAGAGAATTTAAATGTATTTTGCCACCTTTAAAAGGAGAAAGAAATCTTTCTCCCTATCATTAATCTTCTAACGCCTCCCATATGGGTTAATTTCAGCCCAGCTGCAGTTAGTGCCTTTCCCTGGGTTTGTACCAAAAACAGACTCCTTGGATAGCTGCTGCAGAATCTCCCTCTTGCACACTGCGCTTCAAGCCTGCGTGTCACACACCAGATGGAGTCCAGTCGTGGGGTCACCGCCCCACAACGGAATGCAAGTAAAACATCAGCAAATAGGCAACTCCCTGTTAAGGATTGAACTGTATCCCCCAAAAAGATATACTGAAGTTCCAACTCTTAGGCCCTCAGAACGTGCTGCTTTAAACTGCACTTGGAATCTAATCAGGTATGGCAAGATACGGCAAGGACTGCCATACAGAGCAAAGTTTTACACCCGGGGCCCTGGAAACAGAAGGTAACCCTGACATTTTTTGAAGGATGGATTAGAATGCAGAAAAAGGACAATTTAGGAGGGAAATGGTATTTGGGAATGAAGTGACAGGAAGGAAGGGGGTAGACGGTAGAACTACACATAAAGAAGCAGACCACAGAAGTACAGATGCTCCTCACCTTATGATGAGGCTACATGCCAATAAACCCATCGTATAGTCGAAAACTGGGGACCATCCTTATAGCCTAGAGTCAGAGTCTCTGCTTCTAACTGATAGCTGAGTGGCCCTGAGCAAGTTACCTAACCACTCTGTGGCTCAGTTTCCTCATCTGTAAAATGAAGATAATATCTCAAACAGCCAGTATGAAATTAAAGGACTGTACTTAGCCTCCGTGGCTGCCACAAATAGGCACTCAACCACTGTTAGCTATTATTACTGCTGTTGCTTGTGTTGCTATTATTATGTAAGAGCTACGATGGAAAGAGAACTGACAGGATTTAGCAGCAGACTGGCAGGGGATGAGGAGGAGGAAGGCAGAGATGACCAGAGCTCCATGTCTGGCTTGCCTGGTAGTTCTACCAGTTCCACCACCAAACAGCAGTGCGGAGGCAGAGCTAGTGTGAGGAGGAAGATGACAGTGGAGGTGATTTTCAAGTGGCTGGTATCCAGCAGGTGGCTGGGAGGCTTTAGAGACCAAGTCTAGAAATGTTCTCCAGAAAATGTGACGTCTAGCACGTGGCTGAAGCTGCCTGACACCTTCAGAAAGCTAACTGAGGGCACTGTGGGGGAAAAGAGCTCCAAAGACATACAGGGGACAGGCCAACTCCTGGGCTAGGAGAAGCAGGCACAGCGAATGGAGGAGGACGACGGGGTGGGTGGGGGGACAGAGAGGTTCAGTGTCAGCAGGAAGCAAGTGAGAAGAGCTGCACAGACTGGGTGCTGCCAGTGGTATCGATAGTTAAGAACGGAAACAGTGGGAGAAGGGACCTTGGACACCACTAAGTTTATCAACAACTGACAGCTCCTTTCTACTAAAATGGGGAGGTTGAGGAGGGCGCTGCTGGAGAGGGAGCGCAGAGTGGGACTTCAGAACACAGTCGAAAAGCAAGAAACTGAAGGTGACAAGAAGGAGAAGTAAAAAGAACAAGACAGGGGTATTTATTTTTTCAAAATGATAATAGTTTTTTTTCTTATGATAAAAATTAAATACATGCTCTGCTAAAATTTTAGACAACAGAGAGAAAATAAAGACTTAAGTAAAAATCTCTAAAAATCTCACACAATCAGACTAGAAAGAACCGCAAATCCAACAGAAAAGGAGAAAGACAGGCAGACACAACCTAATGAAAAAACAGGCAAAAGACTGGAGCATAACTTCACAAAATATTCTTTCACATGACCAATTAGGAAAAAAAAAAAAGCACACACAAAAATGGGCTAAATCTACATCACAGAAATGGAAATTAAAACCACAAGGAGAGACTACTACTACTTAACCCCCACAATGATTTAAATGAATGCTTACATCCTTGAGCAATGCTATGAGGCAAGTAGAACTTCCAGGCACCAACTGGGGGGAGTGACGAAATGGCAGAGCCACTATGGGGAAATGTCTGGCAGTATCTATGAAAGCTGAGCAAACACATATTCCATCACCCAAAAATTCCACTCACAGGTAGGTATATAACCAAGAGAAACGCACATAACTGTTCACTGAAAGACACATGCTAGAGTATTCACAGCAGCATCCTTTGTAATAGCCCCAAATTGGAAACAACCCAAATATCCATTGACAGAATAGACAACTATACTGTGGTGTATTCTGGCGTCCTGTGGTGTACAACAGAACGCAATGACAATGAATCAACTACTGCTTCACACGACATGGATGAGTATCACAAACTAAGCAAAAGCAGCCAGAGACAAGAGAGGATCTTCTGTCTGGTCCCCTTTACTTAAAGTTCAGAGACAACAACCCAAGCCACATTGTCAGGAGAGTGGTCACACTTTATGGAGGCGGAAAGGGACTACATGGGTGTGACAAAGGGCTTCTGAGGTTCTGATGATGTTTGACTTCTTGATCTGGGGGCTGATCACAAGGATATCCCCACTTTGTTAAAATTCGATAAGCTGTATGCCTATTTCTGCACATGTTACATTTCAATAAAAAGTTTACCTAAATTATCAATAATCAATCTTACCCTAAGATAAGCTAGTAAATCCCATGTTTAATGCTTTCATAGTTTTCCTTCCTTTTTTATAGTGAAATGTATAAACAGCTTATTTAGTAGATCATGGATATCTTTCCATGTCACTAAACACAGCACCATCAGTTTTAGGAACACCTGGATTGTTTCCAGTGTTTGCAAAGCTAAGTTTGTTCCAGTTTAAACTACCAATAACAGTGTCTGAACATGAAAAGTGAGGTTTTGCAATAGAGGACACTGAGATAGTTGTTGCTAAAGAAAAAGGAAGCAAAAAGGCTAAGAAATTAAAAAGCACATGATAAAGTAGAACACAATTAAATCATATTATGTAATAAAAAAACTTTTATATGCAAACTAAATTTATCACTGAAAACAAAAGCACAACTGTCTAAAATGTTGGGTAATATTCTTCGAAGGGGGAATGAATGAACAAAGTGTTAGGTAATAAATTATAATCCAGCTCTTAATCTGGCATTAAAATCAAGACCTAATCAATGCTGGAGAAACAAAAATATAAATATATAACAAGTTTAATTCACAGATCTGATTTTAAAAAGTAAAATTAGAACAAAGACTCTGAAAAATAGTCAAAAATTCCAAAGGAATGAAAAGATAATTGCTGAGGATAAGAATTTTATACTTCAAAAAAGGAAAAATTAGGCTGGACGCAGTGGCTCACGCCTGTAATCCTAGCACTCTGGGTGGCCGAAGCGGGAGGATCACTCAAGTTCAGGAGTTCCAGACCAGCCTGAACAAGAGTGAGACCCTGTCTCTATTATAAATAGAAAGAAATTAATTGGCCTACTAAAAATATATATACAAAAAATGAGCCGCGCATGGTGGCACATGCCTGTAGTACCAGCTACTTGGGAGGTTGAGGCAGAAGGATTGCTTGAGTTTGAGGTTGCTGTGAGCTAGGCTGACACCACGGCACTCTAGCCCCGGCAACAGAGTGAGACTTGTCTCAAAGAAAGAAAGAAAAGAAAGAAAAGAAAGAAAAGAAAGAAAAGAAAGAAAAGAAAGAAAAGAAAGAAAAGAAAGAAAAGAAAGAAAAGAAAGAAAAGACAGACAAGAAGAAAAAAGAAAAGAAGAAAGAAAGAAAGAAAAGAAAGAAAAGAAAGAAAAGAAAAGAAAGAAAAGAAAGAAAAGAAAGAAAGAAAGAAAGAAAGAAAGAAAGAAAGAAAGAAAGAAAGAAAGAAAGAAAGAAAAGGAAAAATTTTTGAAAATTTGTCCTAAAAAACTATCTCTCACTTATGAATATATATGGTCATTGACAATCATCTTTCTCTGATGAAAACCTTGCTTTAATATTTCAGGATTTATAATACTTAGAAACACAAGCTAGAGAAATAGTTACCCTCTAGGGATAAGGTTCTTCATTTCTCAAAACTGAGTAAGTTTTGAGAAACAGTCAAACCTTTCACTTTCTCTCCAGCCCCTCTCCCACTAAGCTAGCCCCATCTCTTCTGAAATCACACATATATTTTTTCCAAGTCTGCTTTTTTTTACCTCTTATTTATCCTCTTCAAAAAAATATTTTTCAGTAAGGCTTTTAAAATACAATCACTTTTTTCTATACTTTATTTTATTTTGACATTAATCAGAGCTTTCTATTAGCAGGCATTTATATATGGCTACAACATAATATCTTTAAGGTACTCAAAAAAAGTTGTCTAAGAAAAAGTTAGCTTCAGTTGCTTCTGCTATATGCATTATAGTTTAACTGATATTAATTGATAAAGAATAAAAAACCTAACTTTTTTTTTTAAAAATCTAGGATATGAAATTAATCATAATACCAAATTCCTGAAACATGCCAGGGAATCAGGAGTTTTACTGTCATAGTGGAAAAACCATTTTAATTGTGAAACTAACAAATCGGCATCCACCACACTGTAATGTCCATCTGCTGATGATGCCGTGCCAACTCATGGAAACTGAAAAAGATATGATCCTGGAGCTTTTCAAAGACATACAGGCAGATAAATATTATCTCAATATTTAAATGTCAAAAGTCAGTAACACTGTAATTTTACAAAGGCATTAGCAGTAACCATCCAAGCATTTCTCAAGGGACAAAGGGCTTCAGTCAACAGACATCGAGTGTTCCAGTTCTTCTGTGGAGTTCCCATCTACTGTGACATTAGTACAGCAGGCTAAGAGAGATGGATGCCATTGAGCATTCAGTTCCTTTTATTCCCAAGTTCCTGAGTCCTTCTCTGCCAAGAACCATGCGCTTTTGTCTTGCTTCCCATGCTCTTTTACCAAAAAGGATAGAATATTCTGGTTAGGCAAACACCAATGTCCTGTATCCTATAATAGTTATGCTTCTCGTGATCAAGGACTAAAAAACTTTATGGTTATGATTTTGCTTCCCAGGAACCTTGACTATGGGAAGCAAATATACTGGCCATAGCAGCACACGTGTTTCTCATTTGCATGATGGTTAAGAGATTTTTCATACGATGCAACAACAGGCATCCAGGCTTTAGCTGTCGTTCTCACACTAAGTTTACTGTGTGTCCAACCCTGAAGCACAGGTTCACTCTTCCACAATGTCACACCAAGGACTCTGAGCCCAAAAGGCGGACACACTGACCACAGACTGCAACTTTCTCAAAGGGGAATGTCACGCAGCAATGCATCCACGTAGATGCCTCTCCTAGCCTTCCTATGGGGGACACAGTCTTTTGCAATCCTGCATAGACCAAGTAAATTTAAGAATTTTGACACCAAAATTCCATTACAGTCTCTCACAAGATGGATGGCCTCTAGTTCCTTTTAGCAAGTGTATTTTGGAGCTATCAGAGTTAAATTAATTCTCTTAGTTTTCTCAAAGAAAAAAAATTTTTTTTTAAATTTTTCCAATGCATTCAACATTGAACTTGGTAATAAGTAGATTATCGCAGAACAAGGAACAAAAACAATTTTGCTTTCCATGGTGACAAAATAGAAACCAAATTCATATTTGGATCATGAACTCCAGAAATTAACACAGACGTTCTCAACAGAAAACTGGGAAAGAAACTAGGAAAGAAACTGATGAGAGAAAATGAAGGGACCCAGGAGGAACCTTCAGAACTCTCAGCAGGGAGGGTAGAAGAGACAATCTCATCACCACAGAACAGATGGAAACCACCGCACATGACTGAGAAGAATCAAAAATTAGTTTCCAGGCTGGTGTGAGAGGCGGTAACAAAGACTGGCGATGCTTAGTAATTTTAGCAGTCAGCTCAGCGAACAGATACTGTAGCAAAACAAGGTAAGCTGTGTCATTGTTAATGGAAAATGAGAGCTTAACCACATTCAAAAGGGGAGACTAATTTTGGCCGACTGATTTCTGTAACTGTTTTATTCGATACTTAAAAGTACATATGCAAAAGATTAGAGAATCTGCTCCCACTCTCTTCCTAAGAGAGGCAGTCAGTGCAGAGAAGGGTACTCACAAGAGATTAAAATAAAAAAATTAAAGTCTACATTGCAAATGTTGGCCCCTAAAATACAGCCATTTAATGCATGTACTTTTTCTCATTAAATAATGTTACTGCAGGTTCCATTCCAACCACAACTGCACTTAGGTGCAAATCCATGCCAATAACCACAGTAGCGACAGTATTTCTTTCTAACAGGTCCTGTTACTCAAATCACTGTGAAGACGCTATTACAGCCCATCCCCATGGAGTCAGGAAGCAAGACACAAGGTATTGGTCCAATAGGTGACAATCCCTTTTGCACTTACACAATCCTTTTACCACACTGTTTAAAGATATCTTCAACAAATTCTTTAAACACATTTCCTACGCCCACAGACTTTATTACCTATTAAGTTCCTACCTCTTAGGAACTCTTTCATCCAGCAAAATACATTGATATTCAAATTTCAAATACACTGCCTTCAGTCATGGGGCATGATGACAATGCTAATGACACTCCCTTGTGGTAATTTAAAACCCTATTCCATAATCACTTTATCTTTTTCCAATTCTCAAAGGATTCTAGATTAAAACTGGCACTCTTTTGCTTTTTCCAGTCTCTAAGGCAAACAACATGAAACAATTGTCCTCCAACTAAGTTTAATTTCGCTTTCCCCAGTTTGCCAAAAATGCCACAGGGAAGAAATCAAAACAACTAAGCATTTGCTTGAGTTTTTGCCAAGAAAACTTTCCCCCACTCCCTTGATCACACAAATTCTCTTTTTATAAAAAGAAGTCCCCTTCCATGTGAAAACAAAAGTGAATAGAACTCTATTTTTGCCTTTTCCGAAAGTCTATTTTATATGTACAGTCTAATTGGGCCTACACATTGCTTCTTTCTGCAACATACTAAGAACCTTTACTCTGGCTGGAGCAGAGACCTCACAAGAAGATAACATTTAAAGCAATGTTCAGGCAGTCGTAACATGGGTCCCAAAGGAATGGCTCTAAGTTTTTCAAAAGATTAAGCTATGGAATACATCCAAGGGGAGAAAATAAAAGGAAATGAAAATACAATTACAGCTACTGTCAGTGCACCTGTGAAAACCAATACTGCAGGTTTTAGCCAGTGGAATTGGGGTTTGAATTTTAAATAAGGTTCCCTGTAATCTGGCAAGTTACTTAACATGTTTCAACCTTCATTTCCTTAACCATTAAACACCTAACACCAGTGTACTTTACGAGACTATGATGATTAAACAGCATGTGTTGAATATAAAAAAAGTGAGCTGTATGATAATAGAAAACAAGAAAGCCTCAAATAAGTTTGACTCACAAAAAATTTAATCACAAAATTCTACCCAACTATAGGCCTTTTCATTTAACATTTCATCACATATAATTCACTCTCCATCAAACACTGCTTGAGCTTCTGGCATCATCTCATAATATTCCTTCTGTCTGTAATTTACAACTAAATATCTTTCTCTGTGAAGCTATCTCCAACCTACTAATCTTTCCAAATCTGCTAATCTCCCCAACCTTCTGCAAGTTAAACACGTCTGCATCCCCTTAGCATTTTGCTCATGCCATTATTATATATTTTATGGTATAATGAGAAGTGTGTATGCTCCAACGCTTGCTGCAGAATTGGCTCATGGGGGCAGGAATCCTGCCCTGGCTCTACATTTCCAGTACCTACCAGTGACTACCACACAATAAGCAATAATTAATATTTGTGAATGAATGAATACAGTGTTCCTTTCTTCACCTTCTGAAACGGGGAAAAATATATTCTAAATTGATTTCTATTTTTAATACAGATTGCAATAACAATGAAGTTAAATTTTTCATGTGGAAATTTTTGGTTTGTAATACTTATCAACCACAAAACTGCTTCTATGCACCTCTACATAATACTTACTGGCTGGAACAATGAAATCTCCATGCAACTCATAGGTCATGAGAGGCTCCGGAAGACTCCTGTGTGAAAAGGACAGCTCAGAATTACAAAACAAATTCAAACAGGTCACCTCTCTCTGAGATTTTTCTATAAAAGAGTGTTAAATGAGTTGTGCATTTCTTAATTAACATGAAAAACTTCCCTAGGGAATAACTTTACATATCAAAAAAAGATATATACATCAAATGGATCACTTTATTAACCGCTATTCACACCATCTACTATCAAAGTTTAAGCAGCTACAGAAAGCTATCAGATTTAAACATATAATACTTCATATCTAATCTTGGAACATACCTTTACTAACATCTGGTTTTATATATAAAACTTCCTTCCACACATTAATGTATTTAAGCTAAACATTCCATCTAACCAAATATATGCATATAATTTTGAAAAACCATCTCTAAGATATTAAGTGAAGATGCCACAAAAAATACATAGAAAAATCAAATCCTCTTAAATATTCCCATTATAAAAATAAGAACTTTTTTACATTTATGCCTATAAAACAAGAAAAAAGATATGAAGTGATAACAAAAATATACATAGCATTTTCATATTCTATAAAACAAGTTACATAAATGGTATGATATTTGATCCTGTGATCAATAGAACTGGACAGTTCAGTTAATCTTGCTACCTACCTATCTTTAAAAGACAAGATCACCTAAGTTTATAAACACTTAAAGAACACCTAGAAAAGGATCAATCTGTACAGCCTTTCTGGAGGGCAATCTGGCAAGATATTAGGAACTTTTAAAAGATTGAAATCCTTTAACTCAGAAATTCCTCTTCAAATCTTTAATAAAAAAATCAAAGTAACATAAAAAAAGTTTTTAAACATTTAAAAGGCCAAGAATACTGCCAGGGATAAAAAAGGTCATTTCATAGTGATAAAAACGTCAATTCATCAAGACGCCAAAACAATACTAACCATTAATGGATCTAATAACAGAGCTGCAAAATACACAAAGAGAAAACTAGTAGAACTGCAATATGCAATAGACAAATCCCAATCCATAAGCAGAGATTATATATCTCTGTCTCAGTATCTGATAGAACAAGTAGAAAATCAGTTACGATACAGGAAATTTGAACAAAACTGCCAACCATATTCACCTAATTGGCATTTCCTTCACCTATATGACACACGACATAAAAGCAACAGACCACACATTCTCAGAGCAGATGGACCATTTTTTCCCCAGAATAAACCACATTCTGGGCCACAAAACAAATTTCAACAAATTTAAAAGGGTTCCAGTCATAAAGAATGTATTATTCATTGGTTATAATAACATTTGAATTAAAACTTAGAGAAACACATCTGGAAAATCCCAAAGAATGGGAAATCAGGAAGTATTTTGAACTGAAGGTAATAAAAGTACAACATATCAGAATTTGAAAGATGTAAGTAAAGCCGTACTTAGAGGGAGTTTTATATAACTAAATATCTATATTATTAATAGAAGAGAAAAAAGGTCATAAATCAAAGACTTCACTTTGTACCTTAAAGAACTAGGGGAAAAAAGTAAATTAAACCCAAAGCAAGCAGAAAAACAAAGATCAGTACAAAAATCAATGAAATAGAAAACAGAAAAAGAAAAGAGAAAATATTCCAAAACTGGTTCTTTAAGATGAATAAAATTGACAAGTCTAGCTAGAATCATTGGGAAATAATAGAGAAAAAACACAAATGACCAATGTCAGGAATTAGGTGACTGCAGAGTCACTGCAAATTCTAAAGACATTAGAAAGATAATAAGAGAATATTATGAACAATTTTATACCCATAAATTCAATTTAGATAAAAATAGATAAATGTCTTGAAAGACACAAACTACACAAAGCTCATGCAAGAAGAAACAGATAACCTGAGTAGTCCTATATCTATTAGAGAAATTGAATTTGTAGTTAAAAATCTTGCCAGTAAGAAAATGTGGGCTCAGTTGATTTCATTGGTGAATACTACCAAACCAATAAGAAAGACCAATTCTACACAAATTCTTTCAGAAAATAGAAGAAGGAATACTTTCTAACTCATTCTGTGAGATAAGCATTACCCCAATGTCAAAATTAAAGGCATTACAAGAAGACTACAGACCAATATCACTCATCATAAGCACAGAGGCAACTATTCTGAATAAAATGTTAGTAAATCAAATTCAACAAGATAAATAAAAGGATAATATATCATGATCAGGTTGGGTTTATCACAGAAATATAACACTGGGTTAATATTTTTTAAAATTTACATATATATGTATATAAAATATATGCCAATGCAATTCACCATACTGGCAAACTAAAGAAGAAAAGCTATATGATCATTTCAATAGACAATTTATGAGAAAGAATAGTCTTTCCGACAAATGATACTGGAATAACTGGACATCCATATGCAGAAATTAACTTGAATCCATACTTGATATCTTATATAAAAAATTATGCAAAATGGATCACAGATCTAAGTGCAAACCTAAAACTATAAGACTTCTAGAAGAAAATAGAAAGTCTTTGTGACCTTGGATTCAGTAAGATTTCTTGATACAGCACCAAAAGCACAGTTCATAAAATGAAAAATTGATAAATTGGACTTTATCAAAATTAAAAATTCTCTTTGAAAAACACTATTAAGAGAACAAAAAGACAAGTCACAGACTGAAGAGAACATGTGCAAAAGGATAATACTGAAAAATAACTTGTATCCAAAATACATTTAAAAACTTTCAAAACACAATAATATAACAATTGAAATTTATAAAAAGTGGGCAAAAAACATGGACTCTTCACCCGAGTGTGTGTGTGTGTGTGTGTGTGTGTGTGTGTGTGTGTGTGTGTGTGTGTATGGAATGTAAGCACATGAAAAATGTTCAACATTACTAGTCATTAGAAAATGCAAATTAAAAGCACAATGAGATACTGCTGTGTATCTATTAGAAAGGCTAAAATTAAAAAGACTGGCAACCTAAAGAGTTGGCAAGGATGAAGAGGAAGTAGAACTTTTGCATGTTGCTGGTGGGAACATAAAGTAGTACATTAACTTTGGAAAAACATTTGTCGGTTTCCCAAAAAGTTAAGCATACACCTACCGCATGATCCAGATATTCCACTCCTTGGATTTATCCAAGAGAAATGAAAGCCTATGTCCATTCAAAGATTTATACACAAACGTTTTTAGCAGCTTTATGTGCAACAGCCAAAGGCTACAAACAACCCAAATATCCATCAACAGGTCAAAAAAAGTTGTGGTGTATCCATGCGATGGGCCAGTAGTTAGCAGGAGGAAAGAATGAACTACCAGTATATGCTACAACATAGATGAATCACAAACTGATTATGCTAAATTAAAGAATCCTGACTTTTTGTAGAAAAGTATATACCTGTATGATTCCATTTAGATGAAATAAAAGGAAATGAAAATTATTGTATGACAGAAAGCAGATCAATGGTTACCTACAAATGAGGTGGTGAGAAGGGAAGGGTGCAAGAGAGGGATTTCAAACGGCACCAGAAAACTTCTGGGAGCGATGGATAAGTTCTTTGTCTTGATTATGGTGATAGTTACACAGGTGTAGAGATATCAAACTTATCAAAATGTACACTACAAATATGTGCAGCTTATTGCATGTCAATTACACTTTAATAAAGCTGTTTAAAAAATTAAAAATAGATGCAAAAATATATTTACAGGCATATATGTTCCTTACAATTTACAAAGCTACAGTATACACATGTACACACAAAATGACAATGGTAGACAAACTAATACTTTATGCACAAGTGAAGAAACACTGCTCTTATTTCCATTCTCCATCCCCTTCTTCCCCTAATTCCCATTTAAAGAAGAAAAGGAGGAAAAAATCAATTATACCACAGCCTAAATAAGGAGAAAGAAGGGCCAATCAGAAGTAAACCTTTGGGGTTTTTGTTTCAAAGAATGGACAGGCAGGAAGTAGCAAACAAGAAAAATGGTTATCTGGCAGAGAAGGAAAGTTAGAGGGTGCTGAATAGAAGGCTGGGGGCAGATGAGAACATTTAGAAAAACCATAGAGGGCATTTCTTTTCCAATAAAAATGAATTTGTATCTAAATATCTTCCGCAAGTTACTTGTATCATTGCCATATGTCTAGCGAGGCAATGTAGCATGAAAAATAAATATTGTTAACGTTAGGGAAACAGTAATAAAAATGACAAGTTCCCCATCCAAAATTTATTATACTGAGTCACCACATCTCTCAGCCTCCCACCCAACATGTTTTTAAGCCACCTTTCTTTGCCACCCGTTGGGATCTGTTGGGGGATATAAATCATAATATTTACCTAAGCTGGCATTTCCTTCCCAAAAAGTCTCATTCCAATTTCCAGGCTTAAAAGAAGTTTCCTCCAGGTAAAATCATTTTACTAGAAATATCACAGAACAGCTCATTGGTCCCTTCACAATGGGAAACTGTTGTAATGAACATACTGCTGGAAATCAAAATGATGGTCTGCATAGATAAGAAATCATTCAAAGGGCTGGTAGTCAGTCTCCTAAAACACTAGAAGTTTAAAAAAAAAAAATTGTCTCAAGTCAGTAGAAGAAAAAGGGAGATGCCATACATAGGTCCGCTGCACATCTTTTTTCCTTCTCCAAGACCCTGGAGGATCTGCTTCTTGTTTTAGTTTGGTGCTTTGGGGGTTTGGCTGTTTCCCTCCTTCCACCTCCAACCTCCCATCCAATAAGACGGCTGGGTTATTTGTAGTGAGAGGAATTCAAGGGCAAGAGCTTTTTTTGGGTGAGAAAAGCTATATTCAGCTTCACGCCACGGTGCTGTGAGTGACAGAGCTGGGACTCCAATCCCGGCAGGCAGGCTGGCTTCAGACTCCCTGCTCTTGACCATGACACTGTTATGACCTCGCCCTGGGGAAAGAAACATACTAGTTTGGGCCATAACCCTGTTGCCAAAATGGAGGTAGATAAAAATCTCAGTTTTCTCCCGTTTGGTGCATTGCACCAAAAAAAGTGTCAATTAAATCCTAATTACTGCATTTTCAGTTGCTAAAAATAACATAGGGGAAAAGAACAGCAACCCAACTTTCAAATCTCCCAAGGCATCTGCCATCTTATGATAATCACTTTATCACATTCAGGCAGAATGCGAATTTTGTTAGGAGTGAAGTTATATAATAATAGCATCTCATAATGTCGTTCTGTAAGCAACGTTTGCTTAAAAGTGGAATTCCATAGGAGGAAGCAACGTAATGAAAAGAAAACGGCAGAAAAGGCAACACCAGACCAGGGGCAACAAGGAACTAGCTTCGGAGAGTATCAAGATTCAAAAAGAAATTGTATGTACTAAATAAAAAGATCCTCTAGTGTATTAAACTAATTCCTCCCACACGGAAAAAGAAAAGAACCATGTGGAAGCAGGGAGGAAAAAAGGACACGATTTACTGCCAAAGAGTTAGATTTTTACCCTTAGTTTCCCACCAACAACTGAGTCATGCTGGCCAAACCCTGTACTAGGTATGAATTTACCAAACAGGAAAAGGTATTTAAAACCACCTCCTAGAGTGGCAGTACTTTTGCAGGTAACGTTAACATATGCAATTTATTAAAATTTTATATCCTTTACCCATTGTTTCCTTCATTCATTTGCAGGCTTTCTCGGCCTCAGCGCTACTGACATTTTGGACCAAGTAATTCTTTGGGGAGAAGGGTGAGCTGTCCCATGCATTGTGGGAAGTTTAGTAGCCCATCCCTGGCCTCTGCCAGTCAGGTGTCACCCCTCTAGCAATGGTGACAACTAAAAATGTCTCCAGACATTGGCAAATGTCGCCTAAAGGACAAAAAAATTATCCCAAGGTGAAAACCACTGCTCTAATACTTCTCGAGAGGAACAGCTCTAGCTGCTGCCAATAACTGTCATGAACAAGACATTTAAAATGCCTGTCTTCAAGGAGCTTACATTCTAATCCTAGAGTGAGGACTAACAAGATTCATTTTTACCATAATTCTCATCTAAACCAGTCACTATCAGTGGCAATCTAAATATAAGTATATAGATTTAATCTTAATGTTACCCCTTTATTGAGTAGGAATAACAATAATGTACGTCATAGCTTAAAAATTTAAACCAGTGGCCAAAAAACATCTTTCTTTATATAAAGTACTCGAAAATAGGTAATACACACCTATTATCCGTTGATAAATTTTAATATCATTACAAAGTAGGACAACCAGGCAACACAGGCCACCTGATGTGACATAACAGAAAGAATATAGCACTACAATGTATTCTTGAAACAAATAAAATAAAATCTAACCTGATCTAACAGTCTATTTGAAAACTATTAGTTCACAGGAATTACGATGGCTAGAGAAACATATTAAATGACACCATGAGGATATAATCAAAAATGACCCAAATTCATCAATAAATAAAAGCCAATGGCAGAGGAGGGGAGGGATGGTATAGATTAAAAGAAACGGAGTGAAATGTTGGCCCCTGTTTAAATCCTGTAGGATTTAACATAAAAAGACTTTTTTGAGGGAAAAAAAAACTGGTGAAAATTGAACATGGACTGAGTGCTGCATATTTGTTGGGTATAATAGCCCGATTGTCTTTTTTTAAAACTCTATCTTTTTTGTGGTGAATACTCAAGTATTTATAGCTTCAGTAAGGTGTTTTGGAAAATCTTTAAAGCATTATCTTTAAAAAGCAGCAGGTAGTGAGATTGATGAATCAAGAAGGGTGGAATGTTGATAACTCAAGCAGCAGGGTAAGAGGGCCATGAGAGTTCATTACAATAATCTCTCTGGTCTTATGTACTCAAAATTTTTTCTCATTTTTTAAACATACAAAACATGTAATGTAAGTTGATTCTAATGTACATATTGGAACCTAAATAATTTTTACCTGAAAAACAACCCTATGTATGGTTTAAAAGAACTTATCCAGCCGGGCGCAGGAGCTCACGCCTGTTATCCCAGCACTTTGGAAGCTAAGGTGGGATGACTGCTCAAGGCCAAGAGTTCAAGACCAGCCTACACAACATAGTGAGACCCCCATCTCTACAAAAAAAAATAAGAAAAATTATCCAGGCATGGTGGCATGTGCCTGTAGTCCCAGCTACTCAAGAGGCTGAGGTAGGAAGATCGCTTGAGCCCAGGAGTTTGAGGTTGCTGTGAGCCATCATAGTGCCATTGTACTATAGTCTTGGCAACACACTGAGACCTTATCTCAAAAAAAAATAAAATAAAATAAACCCCAAAAAACAAACAAAAAAGAGCTGGTCATATGAGCGCCTTGCCATGTGTTTGCCATACAAAAATGTAAGTCTTCAATGGAACTATAGCATGGGAATCAGTTATGATTTTTTTCATCCTTTTATTCACTTTTTTCTTTACTCTCTATATACCTATTCCTCATCTAATCCCAAACTTATCATTGCATTTCTTTAGTTTTTTTTAAAAAAGGATGACTCATAAAAATGCTGAATCCTCTTCTAACTCTAGTCCTAAATATTTTCTATAATAAATAGAAAACTATCTTAAGATTTCATCAAGTAAACTTCTTTTCTAATAGCTTAGTGTTTACATGTTATCATAAGGCTTTAAGTTCAAATGGTTTAAATTTAAAATAAAGTATCTTCATTTTAGCCTAAAATATAAATATTTAAGGAATTCAGTAAGTTGCCTTTATTCAATAAACCCTCAATAATAAGTAGTTTCATAGTGTTTAATTCTTATAACCCACATCTACAATAGACATCTATTTCAAAACCCAAGTCTATTCAATTTCTATTCTGTTGCAATTCACTTAACAATTGATGTTCCTCTACTATTTACCTTACTTTCTGGAACACTATTAGATACCTCATAAATTTTCCCCTTTTTAATAAGGTTTAACTATTGATATTTATGTACAGAGTTGGCATCTGTTCATGTTACATATCCAAATAGTCCGTTGTTCCCTCTTGTTACTTAGAGGAGCTTACCTCAAATACTGTTTCAGGGCACTCGTTATTGTCTTCACTTCCCAATCGATGGAATTCTCCAGGTCCACCTCATTGCATGTTTTTACATCTAGTGAGTAAGCAAGCAAGAAAAAATAATTAAAAGCTTGAACATTCAAAGGCCCTCTTAACTAGCTCATGAAACTTTTGTTTTCAAATGATCAAACAAACCACAAGTAATTAATCCTGTGGTTTCCTACAAAAACATTATATTCAGTTTCTTTAAAATGTTATAAGCCAAGTTCTATTACTAGACATTTCTAGCACTTCTAAAAACCTGTAATAGAGATCAAAGCAAAAGGACAAGGGTTGAGCTGGGATAAGAATTAGAAATAGTATAGTACAGCATCCATGACTATGATTCATGTACACTATTATCATCATTGTTGTCAAAGGTATTGTTCAGCAACCATGACCTACAGCAGGGGCCCCCAAACTATGGTGAGTTGTATAATTATCTCATTACACATTATTAATACAATGTAATATAGAAAAAAGTGCACAATAAATGTAATGCACTTGAATCATCCTGAAACCATTCCCCCCTCCACTCCTTGGTCTGTGGAAAAATTGTCTTCCATGAAAATGGTCCCTGATGCCAAAAAGGCTGGGGACCGCTGGCTTAGAGTATGTGGCATTTTCAGTTGTGTGTGTACAATTTAACTTGTTTCAGGTGGCATAATTGCTCTTACACTGTGTTATGACAGGGGGAACAGAGAGAGGCACTTTGAATGGCAAAACGACTATCAGAATGGCGACAAGCCAGTGAGGAAAGGGATGAAAAAACTGGTCCAAAACATTTCCAAGATTTGTGTTCTTTATATTATCTTTATGAAAATTAACATATGATCAACCAAAACAAACATATGATTACACATAGACTGAAAAAGTCATTTATGGGCAATCTTTCACATTAAGGTATACAGATGAGTATACATAAGGTATACACATGAGTATACAATGTGTATACTCATGCAGGAAATACTTATTGGAAGCCTCTATAGGACACTTAATGACAGTCACACTAAACTACACTAGTTTGCTTTGTCCTAAAAATGTGTCGATGATGTGTTTCTTACAAATACCCTTGGAAATGGCTAGTAAGTTCTAAGGCATGTGGCACATACACACACACACACACACACACACAATGTGCATGAGGGAGTTAGTAAATTATGGAAAGGGAAAAGTTCATCCTGGCTGAAATAAATAAAAGGAAATTATAGCAAGAAAGGCAAACACTCTTGAGTATGGTGACATCTTTGATCCCTGTAACTCTGGGCTAGCGCACTCAGCTGTGGCTCGGCCGCAGGGAGAAGTGCAGTGTTGGTGTCATAAACCCAGGCTTAAGTGCCTGTACCAACCTGGACCAGCCAACACCAGCCCAAGTAAATGGTTCCAAACCTATCCAAATTTCAGGTCTTCGTCTGCATAGTAACGAGAATATAAATGCTCTCATAAAAACTGCTGGGAGCATCAAAGCAAATGAGGAAGGTATACAGGTTTTTGTAAATTATTAAATGTAGCAGGTTATCGTCACAACTGCATTACTAAAAAGTATAAGCAATCAGTGATGGTACCTACCCAAAGGAATGAGGTGGGAAATGGACTATGATGAATGATACTGAGCCATCAGTATCAACTCGCCTGGTTTTCTACACTCCTATTATGCAAAGGAAAAAATAAGAGATTCATGGAGGAGACTATTTCTTCCTCACTCCAGAATGATGTCCCAACTAAGACAAAAAAAAAAAAAAACTAGTTGTGTCAGGGGTTTTCTTTCCCCCTTATACTGTATTTGTTTACATAGGAGAAGGAAACATCTTGTATTTCCTTTTTAAAAGCACTAAAAAGAAAAACCTGTCAAAATGGGACCACCACATTAAGTCATGCATGCCATTTAAAAAGTTTTAGGCTTGGGCATGATGAAGAATGGATGACAACTCAATGTTGGTCTCAAACTTTTTTTTGAAGAGCAAGTAAAACAGGAAGGGATGGTTATTTCACAGCCATAACATCATACATATGAAGTCAATTACTCAAAGTTCTGGAGACTTAAAAGCACTTCAACATTTCTTGATTACAGCAACTGACAGCAATATGCAATAAACTACAACAATGGCAATTGACACTGATTACATTTTGATCAGTTCCTACAATTCAGAACTCATTTGTTACTGAGCTTGTCAGACAAGCCACAGATACATTCAAGAAATCAAATTAAGCACCCTGATTAAAGGTGCAATCCTTTATAACTAGGTCTAAATAATACTGTTCTAAAGGCTTTGCCAACCAATTACTTTAGTAACTGAATATTCTCTCTCTCATTAAATCAATTATTTAAATCTCATTTTAACATACAAGTCAGATAACATTTTCAATCAACTTGCTACCAGCAAATCACCTTTTTAAAAATCCAAGAGGCTTCTAAAAGAAATCTTTTATTTCCAGCTTTCTACCAAATTATCATTCTATATTTTGAGACTTGTATCCTTTGTACAGAAAAATAAGCCATCCTTCTAAATTCATGGAATACAAAGCAACTGTCACATCAGAAGCTAATGACTACATAGTGTCTATGTTACTAATCCTCTCCTAAATTTTTACTGTTTTCAAAATAATTCAATCATCCCCAGCAGTCCTTTTACAATCAGCGGATGCACTGGGACTAGGCAGAATTTAATAATTTATTTGGGATTCAAATATAAAAATACATTTGGAGTGTTCATTCAGAATATATGTTCCATTATAAATTAAGGTAAAAATTGTTCTTTCTTTCTGATCAAGGAACAATATCTTATGGATTAGTTAAAAATCTAAACTAACAAGCAAAGATACAAAGAGTTGATTTTTTTATTTGGGTGAGTGGTTCACACTTACATAACTACTGGTAAATTTTTTGAAACTACAAACTTGCAGTCCAACCTAAATGCAAAGTGCCATTTTATGCAGCTGCTAGCACCCTACTCCACACCGACTTGGGTCCAATTTTAAAGTACTTGAAGAAGCACAGTGACCGGATGAATTTTGAGAAATATGCTTATATAATCAAAACTTAGAATTGTTTCAGCTACATTTGTTCATTTTTTTTCCCCAATCTATGTGACAAAGCTGTCATATAAACAAATTAAACAAGGTAATATTTTTAAAGTAAAACTCTCCACATTTTTTATTTCTTGTTTTCCATGGTTCTATGTCCAAAAAAAAAAAAAAAAAAAAAATCATCCAGCCTTTGTTGCAAATAGATTGAGAAATAACCACTGAGTTCACCAAAGCACACAAGCTTCTACCACATTTTCTCACATTTTCTCCTTCTTCTGCTGTTTCATTCTAAAGGTGGGGGGAAGAATACATGACAATTCTAACTCATATCAGTTCTCATCTACCATGAACTATTATAATTTATCTTTTACATTCTCAACCCCATCTACTAAAAAACCATGAATCACCCAAAGACACCTCATCTAATATTTTCCCTGTCTTCCCTAAGTGCTCCAAGTTTCTACTTTAAAAAACAACAACAAACTTTTACCAGACTGTGTGTGCCCTGTCTTAGACTGCAAAGGGGAAGAAAGGAAAATGACCTGTAAATGAAAGGAAAGCAATTGCTCACATGGGCATTTTCTCAAAGGCTCCCTGGGAATCCAGCCAACTGTTCCCTTCTGCTCCCAGGGTGGAGAACATCTAAGAAGGCAAACGACTCTCACCAGCAGGGGGAGGAGGGCTGCTAGGCACTCCTTTACCTGGCCTGGAGGAGTATAAATGACTTTTCTATTTAGGGAGCTTCCTGTGGTCAACTGCCATTATGCTTTCATGTTGGCAAGAGCAGGGTTAGGAGGACTGGGGTGGGCAGAAAAGTTTGGAGGGGGGAGGGGAAAAGGAGGAAGAAAGGAAGATGATAATGGAGAGAAACAGTTTTCTATATTTTAATACTAAATGAGAAGTGGGAAAATATACCAGGAAAAGGAGGCAAGTGAAAAGAAAACATGCAAGAGATTAAGCATATACCCTTTCTTTAGAAACCATCATAAACTTTTAGACATTAGTATTTAAAGAACACTTAAAACATTTTAATCAACAATACAAAATATTCTATGTAAAAGTGACAATAAAAAAAAAAACTAAAGGAAGTAATTAGCTCTCAAGAACTAAAGAGGAACAAGTAAATGGCAGATCTTGAAAAATATAAAATGGCTTGGAATTTTTTCTCAGATACTTAAAAATTATTTTTTCATTTCTATGAAGAAAAATGCATCATAAAGAAAATGTGCATTGAAAAACTTCCAATTTGAAATAAATGTATTACCTACAAGAGTAATAATGTAAACACTGACTGGTTTAAAAAAACAAAGTTAAAAATTTGAGAGATCCACTGAATTTTTTTTCTCTTTAGGATACATGTGCAACCTTGAAACAATGCAGAGATGTGGGGAAAGTTGGAGAGAATCATTATCTATGGGATTATGCATACATGACTATTCGAAACTCTAAAATCCTTTTTATGGAAGAGGTATTAAATTATTTCCATTTCAAAACTCTAAAATCCTTTCTATGGAAGAGGTATTAAATTATTTCAATTTGAACACTTAAGGAGAAGAAAAGGAAATACGTATCTTAAGAAAATCTTAAATTGATTAGGAAATAGTGAGTTGTCAAGAACTAAGGTTTGTGTTGGTAACATAAAATAATGAGAAAATGGCCCTAATGCTAAAAAAAAAAATCTGAAGTTTTGATTGACAATCTTAAATTCATACTAGGAAATCTTTATAGATTAATTAAAATAAATTTATATTGTGTAGCCCTCTTAAATGAATTACATAATGAAGAAACAACAAGTCAGCATTTCTCTCTCACATTCATTCTCTAACTTCCTATGTTTGCAGTTACTGAAAACCCAGCATTTCCCTTGCCAGCATGTTGAATGAGGTTGTGTCATGCTTGTGTCCTGGACTTCTCTACTCTGAGGCTCACGAAAAGTAAAAAAAGTTTTCCAGGTCATGAAATGTTGAGGGTTTAGACATTTACAAACACCTTGTAAGCTAAGGACTGTCTAGGGACCTGTCCCATAAGCAGAGGAAACTACCACCCTGAGTTCAGCAATGCTGTACATGTAGGATTTTATGAGATTAAGAACAAATTTTGAGGCAGTTTAGCACTTCGAGGTGACCACAGAAACACCCTTGTTCAAACTTTCCTAGAACATGAACAAGAAGATAATAGAAATAATGCCAGGGTCCTTATGACCAATTTACCACCAAAATGTGCCTTTCAGCCAAAATTCCCATTCTGATACCAATACAGTCTTCCAGTTCTAATCATATAACACCATCTTTGAAATGAAAAAAGTGTTTCTAATTTTAAAATTAAGTAAAAGCAGATGCTGTAGTCCCATTAAACTCTTCCAGCTGCTACTGCACCACTGGCAACCTGAGTCTATTTAATTTGGAGACCACTAATGGTAGAAAGGAAAATCTGACTGCCAAAATCATATACCCACGTTAACCCAGAGAGGCAGAAAATGAAAACAGCTCATGCAAGTGAATGTATTCTAATAAGGCTCTCCAACTGATGACGGACAATTTTTCCTGTGGTTAATAACTAAAAAAAGGTTGTTGCTTATTAAATCCTTAATTCAAATACAGCCAAACAAGCAATCCTATCTGTAACACGTCAGTTGATTTTATTCATCTTGGTTTATGCTTCATAAAAATGAGCCTTTGCTACAATACTTTGAGATGCAGACAAGTTTAAATGCATTCACAGCACACCTGAGGGCACTGTTAATGTTGATTAATTAAAGTGAGATATCAAATAAATTAACATGTAGCAAGATCATAATGACAGACTGGTTTGATATGCAGGCCCCTCACCTGATGAGTTATCATCCCTCCTCAAGAGGCAGCCTGTTTTGGGGTGGGGAAGAAGTGGAGTGTCTTACAGGTGGCAACGAACTGACAGCAGCGTGTAATGTAAAAACGCTTTGTCATTCACATAATGTCTGGGGTAATGAAACGAATTCACTTTTGGCTTCCTCTAGTTTGCAATGCCAAAGAACACAGTGTTATCAGCACAGATGGAGCATGCATGGTTCTGGAGAAGAGCCTGGTGTGAACTACAAACAAGCCACTGTGAATACCAATGAATCCCCGAGAATCAGACCCTTGCTGTCAAATGACAGTTTTGGAAGCTCCATAAAAACGAGCGAGTCCCAATGGTCTTGTCCAACCAAATATACTGTCACAATTCTGGACAGGCAATTGGAAGCCATGCACATCATAGAATCCTGACTGCTACTTTCCAGTGAAAAGCAAGCATAAGAAGACATTCAACCATGAGCTGCGTTCTTTTCTGTATCTTAATAAGAGGTAGTTAATAATCTATGCTGATGCAAGTATTATTCTACTTTTCTGGGCCAACTGTGTCTGCCCAGGAGAAAACTTATCTGGGCGGTAGAAGACAAGAATGGAATCACAAGTATACTGTACATAACTATGAAATATTAAGTTGTAAAGTCTATGAACATAAACAAATAACACATGGAAAAATGATTAGAAAAGAGGCATACCCATCAACATACTCAGAAGTCTCTGGACCTTTGAACTCACCCCCACAACTCTGTACAATCCTTGGTCATTTATACCTATGGAAGAAACAAAGTGTTAGCAAAATATAACACTACCCTATTTTAAAAGCCATCATCAAACAGTTGCATTCAGAATCTTTGCTAACATTAGCACATTCTTGTTGACTACAAAAATAACTTTTGACAAAAGCAAGTGTTTACCAACATGTTTTACTAGCTTTGTGTTTGAGAGTTGTGGTTGAAAAGTAATCTCGTAAAACAATGTTATATGAGGACAAAAATGTGATGAGTCAATGTTAATAGGTATGGACACACTGAAATATATACCAACGCAATTTGTAAAGATGCACTAAAACTTTTTGTTTCTTATGTTTACTGATTGTTCACATTTTTCTTGAAAAATGCTAGCCCTTCTATAAGGTGATGATTAGTACATTAGAAAGAAATCATTATTTGGATGATTCTTGAAAACCATGAAAATTCATTCAAAACTAAAGCAGAACTATATTTTTTTCAGGACAGTTGTTACATGCCCTGTCCAGCGAGGAGCTCTGAAACTTCAAATAAATATCACCACAAACTATATATATGGCAAAATGAACCAGATCATTGCATCCTCTCTCTCTGCAGAGACCTGAAAACAAAGTACCCCTGAGCGAAAGAGACAAATAAAAGGTAAGAAAATTTATTCTCAAACATAACTTAGTATGCTAAGCAAATGCCTTTTATTTGGATTCTGATCTAAAGAAACCAATGATAAAGTTATTTTTCAAGCAATCAGGAAACTCTAGCATTAAGGATATGTAAGAACATGTCCATTTCTTAATATTGCATCCTGAAAGGGGTGAAAGTAACCTTGGATTTGCTTTAAAAGGAAAGAAGGTACAGATGAAGCAACTGTGGCAAAATCTCAGCGATTACTGTATCTCAGTGAGAAGAAAATGGAAGTTGTCTGTCCCAAGCACTCCGCTTCTTTTATGCTTGAAAAATTTCAAAATAATGACTTCCCAAAAATGTGACTTATATTTACTTCTCAAAAGAGTTGCAGCTTTCTGGTGGTGTGTTTATTTTCTGTGCTATGAATGTTAAAACTAACAAGAACACAACTGGCTGACAAGGAGATGATGCCTTGAATCTCCAAAGTTGCAAAACAAAACAACACAACAAAAAGGCCATGGAATTTGCCTAAGGGTGTTTACTTTCTTTTCACCTCCCTGCTTGGAGTGATGAAATGAACACTAGACAGAGGCTGCAGAATTAGATTCAAATCACTGCTCAGCCACTCCCAACAGGACAAGAAACCTCTCTGCATCTAAGGCTGCATTTGAGATCAAGGACTGGATCCCAGGCCCTGCGTTATGCTGGGAGGGAAATGAGATGACACTCACACATGTCCTGCAGATTATAACTCATGGCATGCACACACATTTTCATCATTCCTTGCCAAAAATCACTTGTTTCCTTCTTTCTCTACTTTTTGCCTTTTATTTATTCCTCCTTACTCATTTCTTTAAGCTTTGCAAATGTCCTATTTTTTTCTTCTGTTATGGGCTGAACTATGTCCTCCCCCCCAAAATTCAAATGTTGATGCCCTAATCCCCACTACCTCAGAACGTGACTATATTTAAAAATCAGACCTTTAAAAGAGGTAATTACAATATAACGAGGTCATTTGGGTAGGCTCCGATCCAGTATGATCAGTGGCCTTAGAAGAAGAGATTAGGACACAGACACAGAGAAAAGACCCTGAGAAGATGACCATCTACAAGCCATAGAGACCTCAGAAGAAACCAGCCCTGCCAACAGCTTCGTACTGGACTTGTAGCCCCAAGAATGGTGAGAAAAGTCATTTCTGCTGTTTCAGTCACTCAATGTGTGATAGTTATGGCAACTCTAGTAAACATACACTTGCTCTCTCAATGATCTCATTAGAGCTCAAAGAACCAGAAGAGCGAAGGCTGGCCCTTCATTTTCATAAATCTATTCAGAATGCTAAAGAACCACGGCAGCAGAGATGTGCCTTCCTGGTAGAGAATGCTCACGGACTCCAAGAGAGGAGAAAAAGGCAGCGCACCCCTGCCAGGAGTTGGGAAAAAGAAAAGGAAGAAGCCAAGAAACAAAAATCAGAGACCTTTTGAGACTGCTACAGGAGGAAAGACTGAGCCTCATTCCTTCCTTCTTTTAGAAGCCATGACGGCATGTCCAGATAGCTGAAAATACCAGCTGATTTTTTTTTCACTACTCCTCTATTTAAGAAACCTAAAATAGTTTGACCTCAATGCCAGAAGCCAAAAGAACAAGTCTTATTTTGCAGTAAAACAAACGTGCCTCTATGAAAAGTGCCTGAAATACACGGAGAGATGAAATAAGAATGTTACTTCGGCACTAATCATCACTCTGTGCTGGTAATTACTATCAGATAATTGATCAAGTTCAAATTCATCAACCTGAAAGGAGAGTTAATTGCTAACGCATAATGAGAGGTGCAAGGGGGAATTAAAGCTACTCAACACATTTTTTTTTTACTTTTTTTCAATGAAATTTAAAATAAATCTCTTACTAAAGCAGCTTGGAAATAGCACATAAAATGCATACACTCAAGAGCTGTCTGATTTTCTGTTTCTTGTTACACTGTTCTCAAAGGTTCTGGACTAACAAACAAAATGAGGATTGGAACATACTTTACATACACATACATGTTCATACAAAAGCTGTCAAATAAGAATACAGACTACCTAATATGCCAAAGCATATTAGTGGGCTTATTGTATTCCCCTCTAGCTCCTCTTCCAAATTTTCCTCTTTCAGCCAAACGGATCACTATTTCTAATCACCAAGTATTAGAATTTTGAAATTATCTTTGACTTCTTTCCTGTCACTTTCCAAATGTAAGAGGTCAATGCCCTCTTTCTTCAAACTTCAAACCAATCTCTGCCTCTTCAACACAGTCGTGAATTTCATGCACATACATTTATTAAGGAAACCCTGCAAAAAAAAAAAAAAACAACTATAATCCATTCTAAACACCATCTTCTTTTTTTTCCCTTTTTACTTTGCAAACCACTTTGATTACTTAAGGTCCTCTCCATCCGCATGTGAGAGAGAGCCATCAGCTCAGGCTCACATTCGCCAGCCTTGACCAGTATGTAAGGCAGAAACACACAGACACCCATAGTGGGACCCACCTCACCCACCTACATTTAATGCAGAGTATTTGCCTTACTCAGGGCACACTGCTGACCATCACCCACAAATAACCAAGTGAGTTCCATCCTCCTTGACTATGTTCAGTCTGATGCCTTCCCAATAGGGAAGACTTTCCTTCTCCTCACAGACTAACTCATCTGTCAAGTATTTATTCATCATATACATATAGCCAGGGGCTATTCTGCCTGCCCAAGATTAAATAGTGAGTAAAATAAAGTCCCATCCAAACCTTCAGAACCAGATAAATCCCCTCTTCTCACACCATCCAGCAGTGATATTCCCTCATTGTGAATGAAATTCATAATTAATCCCTTTTAACACTTGATTACATTTTAAAACAACTCCACAATCTCTTAGTCACAATTCCCAAAATCAAAAGCTTGAATGAATAGGAGTCCACGGTAATATTCCCTTATCCCGAACTAACTCATAATTAATTCCTTTTAACACTTGATTACATTTTAAAACAAGTCCACAACCTCTTATTCGCAATTCCCAAAATCAAAAGTCTGAATGGCCGGAGAGGGTGGCTCATGCCTGTTATCCTAGCACTCTTGGGAGGCCATGGCAGGAGAATCACTTGACCTCAGGAATTCAAGACCAGCCCGAGTGAGAGCATTTGGTATTCTCTACCAAAAATAGAAAAAAATTAGCCAGGCATGGTGGCACACACAGAGGCTGAGGCAGGAGGACTGCTTGGGCCCAGGAGTTTGAGGTTGCTCTGAGCTAGGCTGATGCCATGGCACTCTAGCCTGAGCAACAGAGCAAGACCCTATTTCAAAAAAAAAGTCTGAATGGATAGAGAGGAATGATGTGGAAGATGATCGAACAGAAGATATCCTACTCCAATCCCCCAACAAGAACAAGAATTCAGCACCCATCCACAGTCAAAAATCTCTGTACAGAAGTCTTGGGCTTCTGATGGAGCCCAAGACCTTGGAGGGTTATTTTGAGTGCAGACTGACACCCAGGTGGCTAAGCTGCCAAGCTTGCTCCTGGGTTCAAGGCTGGAAATGGTTCAGTCCTCCAAGGGTTTTGGCTACAACACTGTTTGGCCTTGAGCCTGCAACCAAAACTATCTGCCAAGGGGTCCAGAAGGAATCACGCACATTAGAGCCTTATCTGCCTGCTGACATCAGTCTCAGCAGTACTTGCAAGTTGCCCAGTGGCTCAGCTGACCAGCCCCCCTCAGGCAAGGTCCCAGCTCAGAGCTGTTCACCCAAGGACTCAGAGGGAGACTCACCTATATCTCACACCTCGGGAGTCTGAGCCTCCCTAAAGGGCTCATCAACCTCTGTCCCATGGCAGATCCAAGCTTAGACCAGGCCCCTCCCACTGCAATCAGGGGGCTATCCTGATTATGCTAAGATCTGCTGAGAAGCACACCCATCTGGAAACTGGTACAGTAATCTAGACTCAGGTCCCTGGCCAGGGTTCCCACATAGGCCCAGTATCTTCCTTGGGTCTTCACCAGGTCCATCTAGGCCAGAAAGCCACATCAACCTAGGAGCCCTCAAGAGACTCATGGCAAGCCCAGGCTTAGAGCATCTTCTAGTGCCAAGGCAGCTGCAGTGGTCACAGGCTCAGGGAACTCAATAGTAGTCTGCTTAGAATCCCTGGAAGGTGCTCTGATGGACAAGCACAAAGCCAGACTGCAAAGACTAAAATAAATACCTAATTCCTCAATGCACAGACACTGTCACACGTTCACAAGCATCAAGAATATTCAGGGACCAGTGCAGCAAAGGGCACCTGTAGTCCCAGCTACGTGGGAGGCTGAGGCAGGAGGATCACTTGAGACCAGGAATTCTAAGCTGTAATGTGCAATGATCGTGCTTGTGAATGGCCAC